TTTTTTTTTTTTTTTTTTTTTTTGGAGAAATGAGATTTTTTTGTGGTTGAAGAGACTCGAGGAATATAACGCGACGCATATTAAAATCGCTGTCACGAAATTTGAATGTCTGTTTGTGCTAGAAACTCCCTTTACATTTTGAATTCATTCGAAGTTGTTAATTTAAATCTTACAGTTAGTTGTAGTTAATTGTTACACAAGGCTATGGAATCATTTCACCTCAACAATATTTTTCTTTTGTGGGATAATAATGTCCCATCTCTAGCAAAAATAGTCTAACAAATCATTAAATTTTTATTCAATACTTTGTTGACATTTCACACAAATTGGAAATGTAATCCAACGCCTTTAACAAGTCGTCGATAATTTCAAATTTCATCTCGAATTTCTAGATTACTGTCAGAGTTGTTTATGCCTTTATAAGCAGTAAAACACAGACATGAAATGCGAAAATATATAAAATATTCAAAACAAAGTACTCGTTGCGATATTTAGCAGACGAAACAAATTCCTAGCAATCTCATAAAAATATGAATTTGCCTAAGCATCTCTTAAAAATTCTCTTATTACCTTCAAAGTTCTTGAAATTCTTGTCGAACAGTTTAATTTCCAAGCTCTTGAGATTTTTTTTTCTTTGAGAAGTTTGCAACGAGCGGAGCGGAATTCATTTTGAATTTCATTAGGAAGTATACACAGTGTTTGCATTTTTGTTTTTAAATTACGAATTAGCACATTGCGATAGAATTACTAATTCTCGTGTACATGATTTCTCCCGCGTTTCGGTGCTCAAATTTTGTTCTATAGGTAAAAATGAAATTAAAATATCATGCAGCACATTAATATAATAATAATATCAAGATTACAATTACTACAGTCGCGATATTCAGTGGTCACCTTCGAACGCTTCAAAACCAACAAAACTCAATTCAATTCGTTCTGAGCTTGATTGAGGGAATCTATCGGAAATGTTGGCACTTTTGTTGGAGAAACTAATTGGCCCGAGTATCTTAACGATTTTACATAGGAAATGGAAAGTCGGGGCCCATCGGACAAACGCTGTTTCATCAAGGATCCAGGGCGCACAGAATGCACCGCG